GAGAAAGGAGGAGAAAACATCACCGTCTCATGGCAGGAGAGAGGAGAAAATAACACCCTCTCATGGCAGGAGAAAGGAGGAGAAAACATCACCCCCTCAGGGAAAGAGAAAGGAGGAGAAGACACCACCCCCTCATGGCAGGAAAAAGGAGGAGAAAACATCACCCCCTCATGGCAAGAGAAAGGAGGAGAARACACCGCCCCTTCGTGGCAGGAGAAAGGAGGAGAAGACACCGTCCCCTCCTGGCAGGAAAAATGAGAARACACCACCTCCTCCTGGCAGGAAAAGTGAGGAGAAGATGCTGTCCCCTCCTGGCAGGAAAAATGAGAAGACACCATCCCCTCCTGGCAGGAAAAATGAGAAGACACCATCCCCTCCTGGCAGGAAAAAGGAGGAGAAGACACCGCCCCCTCGTGGCAGGAAATCCAAGCCAAGGTAAGAGCGTGGCATCACCTGGCAGGGCCGCGGAGGGTTCAGCAGGTGGGAAGGACCYCTTTGAGATAAAGGAGGTGGAGCCCTGAGCCCTGGGCTGGATACAGTCCCTTGGACATCCCCTGAACATGGGCATGCCCTGGGATAGCCCCTGATCCTGGTGTCCCATGTGCCCATACKGAAGGGAATGGTGGGGCCAAAGGGAATGTGGACACAGGAGCAGCAGGAGCTGGGCCAGGCAGGATTCCAGCCAGGGAGTGAGAAGGGAAACTGTCCCTGCTTTGCAGGACCCCACGAACAAAACAGATCCTGCTAAATCTGCAGCCATACAAAGTTTCCCGGGAGCAGGGCRTGAAGGCCTTGGAGATTAACATGTCACAGGAATGGTCCCATGACAATTCCCTTGGTAAGTATTTCCAGGCACTGGATGCATTTTCCTGTGGCAGCACATTCTTCCCTTGCCYGGCATCAGCCCCCAGGAAGCAGTGCTTGTGCTGCCATTTGGGTACGGGGGGTCCTGGGGTTGTCCCTGAACCAGACCTGTCTTCCAGCCCCAGGTGACAGCCACAGGGGATGGGGCRGGTAGGGACATGGGTGGATTCCTCTGSCATCTGGTCTGGCCTCTACCAGGTCTTGGGCTGGCAGGGCTGGGTCTGTAGGGCTGGGGYGTCTCAGAGATCACAGAACCTTCAGGAGCAGACCTGGTGTGCATAAAGYCTCTGTCCTTCTCCCAGTACCACCTGAATCCTGCACAGCTCCTGAACTTTGCACAGCTCTGGATCCCTGCATAGCTCCTGATCCCTACACAGCTCCTGATCTGCCTGGGCTTGAAGAAGAACCTGGAACTCCATGAACAGAGAATAGTGGAACTGAGATGTGGGGGCAGCCAAGTGGCACCATGGAAACAGGAATAAAGAACTAGAAGTACATCACCTCGGCATGTGAATTGCTGCTCCACACCAGGGATTGAGTCYGTGGTCAGGACAACAGTGTTTGGTAACCCAAGTGGGACTGGTGGACTTGCATGACTGCAGTCACAGAATCCCAGGATGTAAGATTGGAAGGGACTCCAGTGGCTCATCTGGTCCTACCTCTCTGCTCCAGCAGAGCCATCCCATARCACATGGTACAGGATTGTGTTTGGATGGATCTGAAATATTCCCAGTGAGGAAGACTCCATCCCCTCTCTGGACCACCTGTTCAGGGCTTGGTCACTGCACAGCAAAGAAGTTCTGGCTCATGTTGAACTGGAACTTCCTGGGTATCAGTTCCTACCCATTCCTCTTGTCCCATCACTGGGCTGCGTGAAGAAGAGCCTGGTCCCTGTTCCAAGCCCTCCCTGCAGACAGAAACAGACTGGGATGAGGACACCTCTCAGATCTGTCTCCTCTAGAGGCTCAACAGCCATAGGTCCCTCAGCCTTTTCTGGGCAGGGTGATGATCCAGGCCCTACATCATCTCCATAGTTTCCACTGGACCTGCTTCAGGAGCTCCCTGTCCCTCCTATCCTGAGGAACCCAGGGCTGGACACAGMACTGCAGACGTGCCTTGCAGGGCTGAGTAGAGGAGCAGAATCACTCCCTGACCTGCTGGCAATGCTGTTCCTGATGCCCCCCAGGATCCCACTGGCCTTCTTGGCCACCAGCAGATTCTGCTGGCTCAGGGRCAGCTCATTGYACCCAGGACCCCCAGGTCCTTCTCCACAGAGCTGCTCCAGCAGGTCACCCACAGCCTGTGCTGGTGCCGGGTTGTTCCTCCGCATGTGCAGAACCTGCATTTCCCTTCATTGGACTTGAGAAGGCTCTTCCCTGCCCATCTCCCAACCTGTTCAGGTTCCTCTGAGGGGCTGCAGAGCCCTCAAGGGCTGTTGAGGCTGGGCCTAAGGAGGAGCAAACAGGGCCAGCTCATCTGAGGTGTTACTTGAAGAAAGGTGATTTTGKCAAGGGGGGATTATGACAAACCAGGTCATGGCCACTGACTCCAGAATCCCACTGACTCCAAAGATGGACAAGACCGAACCTGGGGACTATTTAGTGTGAGAAGGGAGACAAGCATTTAGCCAATGGGAGTTGGAATATTAAAGAGAGAACTCTGTAACTTGTAGCCATTGAATATTGAGGCCTCTGTTTGTTGAAATGTATAAATATTGTAAAGTTTTGATGAATGGGAAGCCAGCATCTGTGGGAACCACCCAGGTCCTGCTGTGCACAAATAAAGACAAAGAGGTCCCTCACCTCAGGGTGGGAACTGGCTCTGCACAGCAGGCAATGAGTCTGAGATTGGGGCAACCAGACCTGTCTTCCAGCCCCAGGTGACAGCCACAGGCAGGATGGGGCAGGTAGGGACATGGGTGGATTTCTCTGCCATCTGGCCTGGCCGCTACAGGTCTTGGACTGGCAGGGCTGGGTGCAGGTGTGGGGTGTCTCWGAGATCACAGAACCTCCAGAAGCAGATCTGGTGAGTAGAAGATCTCTGCTCTCCTCCCTGTACCTCCAACTGAACAGTTTCTGGTCCCCCCTGAGCTTGGCAAAGCAGGTGAAGAGAAGCTCCAGAGAGAAGCMCAACTGTGAGTATGTTGTGGGGACATGACCCTGCACAGACCATGACACTGAGGGGCAAAAGGGTCTGAACAAAGCCACAACATCCTTCTCTCTAATTGGAATAATTCAAATCTCATGGATGAACTGCTCMGGGGATAAGGAGTTGGTTGGATGGCCACATACAGAGCAGTGGTGAAAAGCTTGGRGCTCAGTGGGATGTTGTCTCGGTTTGAAAGACAGGTGTTTGCCGATGAAGGCAGGGACCTCCCTTGGAGTGGTGGATATGACCCCCCTTCCCTCCAAATTATTATAGCTTCCAAAAAAAAAAAAAAGAGAATCAAGGGCTTTCAGGCAAGAATATGGGTAAAAGGGAATAACAGTTTTTACTAATATGTATAACCAGGTGAAACGAGTAACAATAACAACAGCAACAACCAGCCCAGTCCCAAACTCAGTGACAGCCTTACAGAGACACAGCCTCCCCTTCGGTGCAGTTCCAGTCCCAGCTGGCAGGGGCGCTGTTGGCTCCCAGCCAGGCAGGGCGGGTGCGATGATTCCCCGGTGGCTGCAGGGGGCGCTGTGGCGCGGGTCCCGGCTGGTTCAGATCTCCCAGTGGCCAATGGTGGACACAAA